GTGCTCCCATAGTTATCCTGCCTTTGATCTCATTTGAAGTTCAGTGCTGAAGGCAACTTGATCTCGGACACTATCTCCTTTCATAGATGATAATTAGCCCAGTTCTAGAAGGCCGGCTGCAATGATATCCTTCGCTGTTCGAAAGGAGACGGGGAGTAGGGATTGGAGCAATTGTTTGCTGTGTTGATGACTGTGTTGTTGCCATGGGAAAGCTCAAGACTTCAGGAGAGTTTGTGTTTTGTTGGGCGAGGTGCCAAGCTGTGGTGACTTATTACAGCGGCGCGAGTGAGCCATACAGAGCAGTATCCTGGGTAGCAATTCAAAGGGCAGGAGCGCTTTAATCAGGGAAAGATAGAGCGCTGAGTATCCACATTATGCTTTATTTCAACTTGGAACCGATAAACAAACCCAACATTTTAAAGGAGTCTCTGGGTTTGGTCTTTTCACTTTGGAGGAAAAACAAGTCAATTCTTCCCACCCACCCCAGCTAAAAGGCAAAACAGAAAATGCTTCTGCTTTACATATAAAGACCCCTTGTAAAGAATGGAGTGTTCTCAAATAACAGCTCTGCTCACAAAGGCGAGTTAATCTTGACTCAGTCTCAAGAATGGCAAAACTGTACAGGCTAACTTGATTTGGTGTGAAAAGCAAAACAAAACAAAACAGGGGAGGAGATTGGGAAGGTTGCTTCTAAATTCAGATTCCGGACACTGCTTTGCCTCACTTCTCTGAGAGTTCGGCCATTTGTGCCCCCAATCCCATGCCTAGCAAGCACTTGGCCCAGCCTCGATGTTTAGTCATTGTCTAGCCACACTGAAGACAAGGAGTTTTCCTTGGGGTTGGAGGAAAAGTTGCTATATAGATCCATAGAAAGGAAAACTCTGGAGCTTTGTGAATGATTTTGCCCTTTCAGGTCACAAAAGACTGGCCACAGCCGCTCTTCCTGCCAGTAGTCAACATAGCCCTGATTCTTTAGGAAGATGCCAAATCTCCCTTTCTTTTTCTGCTGTGTAGACATTGCCTAGAAGTTCCCTTGGTGCCAAGTCTTTTGAAGCCTCTTGATCCATTCCAGAGAACTCTTGGAAGAAGAGAGAACAACTTCACAATTTCCATTTTTAGCCTAAAACAGATGTCAACATGTTAACTCTTCTTCATTTGGTATTGTGGGCCTGGGCCTGTGTAGGGATCACAGAGGCACAATGAAGCGCCCTGTGTTTTCCGGATAGATTTTCAGTGGCAGACTTGTGAGAAATATATGTGTTGGAGATCAATGAGGCAGCTATGTCTTAGAGCTTAAAGGGAAGACAGGTATTTTTCTTATTTTAAAATATTGGAGTAAAAGTTGCGTGTGATACATTTTAAATACTCATTTTCTGTGTTTTTTTTTTTTAAGATTAAAGCCTTTATTAGGTGGACGAATAAAGAAAACATAAGCTTTTAGTAGAAGATGATTTGTCTTCTCAGCACACTTTTTTTTTAATGTCCATTTTCCAGGATTGTTTTCTCTTATCTTTTGGAAACACTTTTCAGAGTGCTTATACTTGTGTTTGTTACTTGGTAGTTTTTTTTTTTTTTTTAAGAATTTGGGTTTTATTTTTTTTTAAAGATTTTATTTATTTGAGAGAGAGAGAATGAGAGACAGAGAGCACAAGAGGGAAGAGGGTCAGAGGGAGAAGCAGACTCCCCGCTGAGCAGGGAGCCCGATATGGGACTTGACACCGGGACTCCAGGATCATGACCTGAGCCGAAGGCAGTTGCCCAACCAACTGAGCCACCCAGGCGCCCTGTTACTTTGTAGTTTTATTTGGTTGCCAGATTGGCTATTTTTTTTCACCCAGTTTGACCTTAAAGAGACATACTTTACATAGAGGCAGATGTTTTCATCTGCCTTAATTTTCAGTTACTATATTTCCAAGTTTTGGTAACATTCAGAATAGTTTTTCATATAAGCTGTGGACATTTTTCTAATATAGAAACATTTTCTTTGTGTACCAGAAGACTCAAATAGTAACTTACAGGTATCTAGGCCTTTGGGAATTAGGGAATTGATGCGACTTTCGCCGCAGAGGTTTTCCATATAGTACAGTTTCATATATATGTTAATAAGGATACATCCTGTATCATCATCATCATCATCATGATGGACTTTATTTTTTTAAAGATTTTATTATTTGAGAGAGAGAGAGAGAATGAGAGATAGAGAGCACGAGAGGGAAGAGGGTCAGAGGGAGAAGCAGACTCCCTGCCGAGCAGGGAGCCCGATGCGGGACTCGATCCTGGGACTCCAGGATCATGACCTGAGCCGAAGGCAGTTGTTCAACCAACTGAGCCACCCAGGCGCCCATCATTATGGACTTTTAAATAGACATTTTTTTTTTTGTCTTTTAAACTGCTTTACTAATTTCACAATATATAATGAACATCTTGCCATGAAATAGGGTGAAACTCCCTTGCTGACAGAATCTTATATTTTGGGTCAAAATACAACATTCAATTGGAAGCTGGTCATAGGAGACCCACAAGAGACATGTAACACCAAAAGGTTTACAACAAATGTACGTTGAGAACATTAAGTTTAGGAAGCAGGTGTGTCCTCCTATTA